TTGCATCATTGGGCCAATGGACAGCAATGCTCGGTTTCGACGTTCTGCATCACGCCGTCACGTCGTATGAAAGCATCGTGCCGCGTGCCTGCCATTCTCATCCAATTTAGGCCTCGTCGATGCACATTTGACATCCCAGAAGCTTCCCGATACCCGGTGAGCTATTGCAGACCTGGTTGAATCATCTGTGGAGCCTTGGCAACACTCTGTACTCCGTACAGTCTGCACTACTCAGTACTCATCAAACCCCGTGGCCCTGTCCTGGCTTACGACCAAACCATTGTATGCGTCGCTTCTCTGCCACGTAATTAGCAACGACACCAATCGTCCTGGCTCGCTGCCCACTCAACCTTTTTCCGGCAGTAGGAGGCGCGAGCAGGGCTTGTTTCGGTGGTGTTCTTAACATCAGGTAAGGTAGGCATTTGAACAGCGCCTCGGTCATTCGAAAGTTGACGCCCTGGCTCAGTACCTTAGCCTTCAAGGTTCATGGACCACCTGCCTGAAGAGGCGAGATCTCTTCAACATCCATCCATCTCCCTAACGTTCCCCGAAACGGAGCCAAATACGATTCACTAGCGATGGTTCGAAGCTTACGGACAGAGGTACGGACAATAGTCTCTTCATCAATGGTGTTTATGGCGGCACGGTGCCGCCTTCACCCACCGCGTGCGAATATCAGGTAGGTGCAACAACCCGGTAACAGAATAGCCTCGCGGTCACAACTCCCTGTCACTTGGCTTACCCTGTAAGCAGTGAGCAAGTATCCTCTACCTTGTATGCCCATCCAAAGGCTAGTAGTCTAGTGTCAGCCAACTTTTCAGATCAGCAAGGCGAGCCCTGCTGAAGCGACATCCCTGCACCACTGAGATACCGGTAGACGTCTGCGCGGAGACGGCTAATCAGAATTAGCTTGTATGCCGCCAAGTACCAACTGCACCTATACATGTCTCTCAATCCAAACGGATATACCCAAAGCGCTACTGCCAACATTCCGCTGCTGACGTCCGGCTGGTCACTGATTCCCTCGCTTCACAAACTTCATAAGGGTTATGCCGTGGGCCCTGGAGACCTTGAAACCTAATGCAACACTTTCTGCGCACATGCGCCTGCGGCCTGCCTAGGACAGCATGATCTTCAGTGGAATATATCACTCACTTAGACACCCTGGGCCTACCACCTCATCGTTGGAAGCCACATTGGCCAAGACTTTCGACTCATCTACCTATCTGGCTACTTACACAGTACGTCTGCGCCTTCATCCTACCAACGTTCAAGGCCCAACACAGTATGGAGCACACTACCGTGTTATTCAAGGGTGATCACAGCCAGGCGAGACCTTTTCAAAGTCTGAGCCATTGAGCCCTGCCATTCCCAATGGCCGGATCACACGGCTACGATCCGTGTGCCACTTAGACTTGTCACAGAAGTTGTCCTCCAGCATCGGCGTGTCTTGTCACCGACTCATCATCTTCCGCCCAACACTGCGCATCAACAGTGCACTTTGCCAAAGACTCGACCGAGTCGGGCTTACGCCGATTTGTTTCCCGCGTCTCCGTCGATGGTTCGATACTGACTATCCGTAGGTATCACAACTCATAGCCCACATTCCCTTTCAAGCGTTCACATACGGGCACGCTTCGTCCCTTTCACGGCCGCCTTTCAGTTAACGACTTAACGAAGGTTGGAAATCCTCGCCGTCACGCTCTCGCTCGTGCACCAATACGAAGCGGTGATCAAGATAAGGCAGGCTCACTTTCCCAGCCACATTCTCGGGGTTGCTAGAATTATGGCTGTCAGCTCTGTGCTGTGCCCACCCGCGCCACAAGGACGCGTGGCTGATTGAAGCTCTCTCGATTTAAGACGACGACACGGATACGCTTCCTTGATACCAGAGGTCTCCCGATTTCTCGAGGAGGTCGGTGCCCTTCGGACAGCAGCCGTCTCTCCTTACCTGCGCATCATGTACCGGGACCAAGTTCGTAAGGATACTGAAGGCCAGCGATCCTACTCCTTGTCAGTCGGCGGAAGTCTGTTCGACCATATTTGGTTTCGTGCACCAGGTCACTTAGGGGCGTGGCTGGATAGACAAAAGCCAAACTTGCTTCCGCGAGATGATCAGCATGCAATTTTCCTTAATCGCGCACGATTGACGAGCCTTGACCCCCGCCCAATGCATTATCCGTATGTACACTACATACGAAGACCCGGTGCTGGGCCGTCTACCTAGGTATTTGATCCGGATGTGAACCAGACAAGAAAGCACGCACGCATGGTCAACTCCGCTGGTATCTGATCGATCTTGAACGCTCACGTCTGATGCCCCAACTTCACTGCCGACCTAAGCTATTTCAATACACACTGCTTCGATCCTCTAAGTCTTATCAACCCAAGATAAAACGTATTGTACGGATACAGGGCCAGGGGTATCTCTGGCATGGCGGACGACACCATGAGGGGTACCTCCTCTTCTTCCATAAGTCACCAGGCTTTCACGTCAAATACGAAGACAGCTTTGGGTTGGAAGAAATCAGTGAAGACGGCGCAGAGCAATTCCTGCCAGGTGACTACGACCCGCATGTTGCACAAAACGGGGCGTTAAGCTCCAGGTTACCACCAAGTATGGGGTCCGCGACAAACTAATAACAGCCGCAAATCACTGACGTGTTTATTGCTAGCAACGAGACCTTTCGGACTTCCAAGGTTCTATGGGGACAAAATCATCCTCGAGCTAAATAAAGCCCGGGTGACGCTCGGCCGTTTGTGCTCAAGGGGTGGTGTGCTAACTGTGTCCTGTTTAGCATTCTTTGATGAACAGAACCAGGCGGCAGGGCAGAGCAGTCAGGGCCTCGGTGAAACCGGGGCCTACCGACAAAAACACTTTAATGCGCAAAGCTGTCATGCCAGCTAGCCAGGCTCGAGAAGTCAGGGATCTCAGGGGTCGACTTTGGTGGGTCTGGCTGTATACATACTAGCGTGCAGTCCATCTTATGGTCTGCCAAAGATGAAAATGAAACAGGGCAGGGATAACAGGCTTCCCAAGGTCACTTCTAGGTTGTCGACCAAGAATCCGCTAACCCTTGAACTAGCCCTGGTAAGATCAGTCCCACTAGATGATCAACTGTTCACGCGCGGGCCACCAAGAGAACCCCCTGAAGACTGATTGGGCGTCTTGCATGGATGGGGGAACTTGACAGAAAGCACCGACCATCGGGACGATACAACGGGGCGAGACGGCGCCATCCACGGCCATCTACTTCATTGAGCATTTTTCGGCTTCAGAATTCCAGATAGGCATTCACACTGCCCCAGGTGATTCGGTTCGCGAGAGTATGAATAACTGTATATACCTCTCGGCTACCTGGCGGAAGTGCAGTACGTCTCATCAGCCTATAGAATACACAGAGACTCAAGACCTCTCACTTGAACGACTCAGCAAGAATCCGGGTACGGAATACGTACAAAGGTGCTGTTTACCTTTACCACACCACGCGGCGGCAATTGCAGCTGCCCATGACGATTTAGTCCGACCGAATGCGGGAACCAGCACATACACGCACACATAATTCTAGACATGGGCCATGATATGGCCATGGCTTGTCATCCAGCGAGCTAGGATCCCGGCCCTAGTCCCGGCCCCAGAGATTCCAACGTGCTGAAAGATGCCAGGGATTGGCTCGGAGATGATGAGTCCCTTGTCAGACAGAGGACAGCGTCAGTCGCCTAGCGTAGCCCGGCGGGCCTGGCTTGGAGATGGGCAAAAGTATCCGGCCGGTGCCACTCTTTAACCAGTGCCATGGGCCCAGCACCCTTCGCGATTTTAGCGGCTGTCTGACCAGGTAATGGCAATCAAGGCGTTCTTCACGGTGGAGCGGCTGGGACCGGGGACGATCTGGCTGCCGGACTCTCTCCGGTATATCCTCTGTTCTCTTGCAAAAGACTCGTCGTTCAGTCCCATAATGACTGACCGGAGCTTCAGCATTCTGATACTTGGACAGAGGAAGTATGCGGACGGTCGGCATACCGTACCGGTAATGCTACGCGAGCGAGGCTATGGGCATTGGGTACTCCGTATATCGATACATCGAAAGTAAGCCAAGCTCACGAGACTTGCGAGAGCAAAGCCATGAGCACCTGGCCTCAAAGCTGGACGCTGACAGTCATTCTAGGCAAGTGAGGACCGGATCATATGATCTGGATCAAAGCAACCGGACAGAAGATATGGCTGCTCAATAACTTTGCGATGCAGATCATGACTCGTCATAGCACGAGAGGCGGTTCCTGTGAGCCGGGCGCAGAAAGTCACGATGAGATATGCTTGAAAAGTTGAAGCATTGGCTGCATCTATTTGCAGAGGTGGCACCACCTGTTGAGAGGTACCCAGTACCTGGATTTGACCAGCAAACATAGGGTTTCGAAGCAGAAGCGATACGTACCCGCTACTCGACATAACAGCAAACTACGGATAGTGTGCTTTTGGTTTCCTACGTGCGTGCCTATCCGCACGTAGGTAGAGACCTCGCCGATCTCAGCAAGTTAAATGCGGGCTAAGGAGGAGAGATGGCTTGGATGAAAAGGAGGGGTGTGGGCACGTAACGTCGATGAGGATGAGGCAGTGAAAGATTTTGGTTTTCTGCCCTTTTCAGTCTTCACCACCCCTTCCATACGCTAACAAGATCAGTCTCACCCTTACCGGTTGCCGCCGCCGCTGATTGAGCCAGCCATCACCGCCATGGCTACCGCTGTCCAATGCTACCCTGACGATTCCTTTCCCCTTCGACTGGCTTGGTGCCACCCCCCTACCCCGGTTCAAGCTCAACTTACCGATATTCCACACTTCACACCCCTTCTTCCCAGTGCCAGGCACGCCAACAGAGATTGAAGACGCCATAGACGGACAGTCCCATTATTTACTAACCGTCCTTCGCCCCCACATCTTCGCTCATCCCCGCTTGCCAGCCGGGGTTTCTTTTCGTCCCACGAGACATGCAAGAATGGTCGACATGAGGCTGTTACGGATACAACTCACTAGCTGTGACCAACGCTCATATTTGCTGCCACTAGCTTTGCGACACAACCCGCGCCGCCGTGCTCCTCCGCTCGCTGCCATTGCTACAACCACCGAGCACAAGCGGGCGTCCTTCGATCGACGAAGCTTTTGGAAGCTATCATAATTAGTATGTACTCACTACCCAGTCATCTAGCCCTTGTCGCACAGCATTCGCAAGCAGTCGCGGCCAGGATGGCTGACTGATGATCCAGTGTGCCAGTCTCATTTTTGCGTTCCATCCGACTATATGGATACAGTATCTTTACTTTCCTTCTTCCGCTAGGTATCCGCATGTCCCTGTTGGTCTCCTTGGTATTACCTACCATTCTGTAAGTAAGCCCGTCCTTGAACACATATCCGACGTCGATTACAGGGACGCCCCCTTCGGCCCCTCGGTCAGACAATCTGCCATGCAGTGCTTGCTTTACTCTACCCTTGAGAATGGGAACAGTGGTGCGATGTTTCCCCCCTACACAGCACAACCAACCCCTGAGAAAGGCGACCCGCAGACTGTCTGCCCGGTCTTACAGATGCGGTCACAGGAGCTTTCGACTGCTCAGCTCCGTCGGGCTCAGCGGGCTTATTTCTGAAGCTGCAGAAGCCTGACTGTGCCAGAACGCCTGTCCCTGCTCCCAGTCTCTGGTACCGTGGTCTCAAAGTCGGCAAAAGCCCCTGCTACCGTTGGTCTGTGGGCGGAAATCGCTACATCATTCTGGACGATCCAAGGTTTTGCCACCAGGCACCGCCCACCGCCCGCTCAACTTCATCCCAAAGCTGTCAAACGAACGAACATCCAGACAAATCCGCTTCCTCCCGTCAGGGGCCACTGGTCTAAGAAATGCGGACTCGCTCGCGAGTAACTTTACTACAACGCCTGACTATAATCTACCCTCTAAGTACCTTATTATCGAAGAAAGTTAATTCTTTCTAAGTCATAAGTATAAGAATATAGTTTTAATAAAATAATATAGTACTTACTTAGTATTTAAATTAAGATGCTTTTTTAAGCTCGCTATAAAAAAAAGATAATTATATTATTAACTACTTATTATTAAGGTTCGTAACGTTATAGCTTTAATTATAATAACTTTATTTATAATAAATAAAAAGTCTAATTATAAGTCCTTTAAAAGCCTCTTTTTAAGGGCTATAAAAGCCTCTAAGTTAAGTTAAGATATTTATTAAGATATTAATAACTAAACTAACTTTATAATAATAACTTTAATAAAGAAACTAAAAAACGAACTAAAAAATAACGCTAAAATCCTTATTAACGTTAAGTATAATTTACGAAGTATAATAACATAGTTATAAAGTATTAATAATATATCTTATATTAAAAAGACTATTATTAATACTAATAAGACGAATAGGGCCGTATTAATATAATACCTTAGCTTTTTTTTATAACTTAAGGACTATAGCCTTAAATAGTATTAAAAATTTATTAAAAAGCTTACTTAAGTACTTTAGTATATTTATTATTATTTCTATAATAATAAAACTCCTAGTACTTATATATAAGAATAGGTTATTTATTTTTAAATAGTAATATTAGCTTATTAATAAGCTATTAAAATTATAATTCTAATAATCTTTTAATAAAAGAGAGGGTAAAATAGAGGAAAGGATAGGTAAGAAAAGGGTTAAGGTTAAATAGTACGGAATTTGAGGGCAGGGTAGCGTCTATATATACTGCGGCAATCCTCTAGTAATACAAAACGATGGAGTTAAACAGTGTGTAATCCACCCTCGTCAGCGTTTCTCTGCATCTCCCGAGGTACTCGCAGTTTTACTCGGCACCCCGATCCACGTATCAGCGCCAACATTCCCAGAACGAAGCAAAAGTTGCAGCAGTCCGTCACCTTTGGGTGCTCGAGAACATTTTCGCCGTAGCTAAGGAGCGAAGATAAGATAGGCGCAGGCCGAGCTTGATGATGATGATGGGATGGACCGACCCCGCCCGACGCACTTGAGTCGTCGGGCCTGCAAGAAAGGGAACGTCATGATTTGTTGACCGTGACGACCGCAAAGATTTGCAGCCCCGCCGTCGATGTTGACTCCCGTACGGCACCATTCGGCACCACAATGTTAGGATCAAACAACGGAGACTCGGGGCCATATGCGTTGTGCATCCGTACGAACCCGGCCACACTCTACTACGGATACTTCGACTTTCCCATCTCTTCTCGAGACCCGTGGTATGGGAACACGAGGAAATAGACCCGGCTCCACTGACTACTTTCGAGGAACTTCAGGAAGAGCACAACAAACCAGGCTCTTGAATCGCCGCAGATCGACAAACAGGCCGTGGTCCCCACTCGCTGTATCAACCATCGCCTATTCATTCTCTCTCGTGAGAGGTCCAACGTTGTGGGAAGAGTTTTTTTTCTTCTTCTCTGCCTCATTTCCAGGCTCTGGCTCCGCAACCGAATTACGAGAAATGTGACAATTCTCTATCCCCAGCCCTCTTCCCCTACAAGGTCACTTGGCCCATCTGTATGTATATTCAGTCACCCACACGGTCTCGCTGCAGTAGATCCATATGAAGGGGACGAAATTCTCGCGACAAACTTCGCTGGCCGGCATGTGAGGACGTACACACAGAGGTACTGTAGCAACGGCCCAGATTACTTCTCCCCGTTTTTGCTTGCGCAGTAGTCTCCGATTAGGTCTGGGGGCCATGCGGCATGCCACTATCAGCTGCAGCAGGCCACATGCAGCCTTGTTCGCCGTCGCAGGCCCCGTGTGAGGTGCACCATCTTCAAGCTGCATCAAAGCATCGGCGGCGCATGAATGCATGTTGGCCCGGCCTGTCACCCCTCCACTAATAACAACGAGCGCCGCCAACGCGTCCTGGCCTTTGCGGATGTCCAACTATTAGTGTACTGCCGAGTCCCCTCCCTCGTAACAGGTTGCCTCCTCGCTTGAGCCTTGCCAACCATGTACACCGCCTCTTGATCCCCACAGAGCCATAGAGGGTCTTACAACCTTTCACTCTCGCATAGCTTCGGAACAGGCGCGACCACCGACGGGTGCTCCATCGGTCCGCTGGCGGGCAAAATACGGCCTCTTGGCCTGGCTTACCTGACGATTGGCGGACAGTCGCCCCACCCGCCGAAGCATCCATCTACGGCACCGGGGGGACACGGGGCCACGACCCGGAGTGCCCACGGCGACAGTTTCAACGCCTGACGGATGGCCCACCGTCAGCGCGACCTTTGCGTATTCTTACGAATATCGTCTCCCAGTCCACCAAACCCCTCTCGCTGGACTTTGAGTGTGGCGAGTGCAACCGCGAAGCCCAACTTGTGCGTTACGTCCCAAGTGTCGGCCTGGCAGATCAGTCCATACAGCATGCCCGCAACGAAGGTGTCCCCCGCCCCTACCGAGCTGTCCCCCCCCAAAGTTATTAGTATCGCGCGCCAAGAAGAGGGTTGAGTATTGAGTAGTGGTATGGCGAAGCTTACTCGACGACCTGCTTCACCGGCGTCTCGACAGGGCTTTTGACCAGCTGCCGGTCCTTGGGTGATATGCACCATGCTCCCTCAGCACCCCACGTAACCATAGCCAACGACCTATTCTGCAGTCAGCAAGAAACGCGTTGCGTACCGGTAGACACCTCCTGACCGAACTCACGTCCGCGGTAACGACAGCGACTCTTCCCTTAGACAATCATCAGCGGACGTATACCCGCAGGCCTATGCCAGTCCTGTCAGTATGCACCGCACACTGCTGTGACTGGCGTACGCCGATATCCAAGAACGAACGTGACGCACCTCGGCCCAGCTCTTGGAGTAGAAAACCACGTCAGCCTCAGCAGCGAGCTCTCTCAACCCCGCCCTGCCCGGCCTTTCGACTTCGACGCTGACCGTCACCACGTCGTCGCCCAGGGCCCGCCTAAGAGCCAGAATGCAGCTGAGTGTCGTCTCCGGAACCCGTCCCTCAAAGTGCCACCACGTCCAGCCGCCTTTGCCGCGGAACGCCTCGACGACGTTGAGGAACTCGTCCGTCGTCATGTCGGGCAGGTCATTGTGGTTTACGATTGTCCGGCTGCCGGTTGCCTCGCTGCGGAAGATGTAACTGCTCGCCGGCGCCTGGTGGCCTTTGCGGAATAGGCAGTGATCAAATGTGATCTCCGCGGCGGTGGCGGCGGCGACGACGGTGGTATCTGGCGCTGGCGGGAACGAGGCCATGATCTGCGCCGTCGCCTGGGATTGACGTTCCGGCAGGGGCGAGACGAGGTGCATCGTCAGGGGCTCGGTTTGTGAATGCGGTAGGTGCTCTGCGCGGAGAAGTTGCTGGAGGACTTCCATTGTGTTAGGGCAGTTGCCGCCCCTGCGTACGCGGATGCTCGTAGCTCGTAGCTTCAGGTCCTCTTCGGGGAAGTGAGGTACGCTTGAGAAGAAGGGGTGTGAGTAGAAAAGCCCCAGTCTTGATCAGTGGGCGGGATGAGAGCCTTGCCTGAGGACTGTGTCGACGTAGCACGCCCCGACGAGGATGAGATGCTTCATGCTGTGATGTGACGTGAGAGTTGTTGTGTTACAAGTAAATGCCGGCTGTCGTAGACGTTCTTGTGCGCATCGCAATCACCTCCAAACTGAATCGTAAATGCGACCAGGTGTACGGTACGTGATTCACGAGATGCCTTGCGATGACGATTGCATCAGATGCCGCTGGCTGAATGTTCTTTTGGTCGAGGAAGATAGTGTTTTCGACAGACGCTTGGCCCCAAAAACGATACGGCTAGTCGGCTAATCTTTTTAGCGCCTACAATGTCGCGATAATGCAATATTCCTGTTGCTCAACGCCCTTATGACTTGCAGCGACGAGAACCCGATTCTTTTTGACCATCCTTTATACTCCTCTCAACTGTGTGGACGTGGTTCTTGGAATCTAGATCTTCCGAGGGGTTGCTCAAAGTGATGGACGAAGCCGTGGACTCTCCTGACGATGTCCGTCAAGGCGTATGTGCAGGGCGGGATGTTATCCGGATGCTCGCTTCAACGGCCTTTGCGTGTTGCTCGCTAGACTACATTGATTCTGCCAGGTCTTCATTGTCTGATTCTCATCGTCTTTTATGGCTGAGTCGTAAACGCATTTGCAACGTTGGTCGGTTATATTGGGCTAGAGTTACGAGAATGGTAGATCGTCGACGACAATGATACGCCGTTTACATCTTTAAGACCATCGCAGAATTTCTTGCGCTGCCACATTTGTTCTTGTGCGTATAGCAGAAACAGCATGGTCTGTTATCTGTTTAATAGAGCGGCCATCTAATAGATTTGATCTCCTGGAGTTGAAGTCAGCTCAGCCCTAGCCCCTTCTGCCGTCTTTCCTGTACAACCAAACAATTCTGTCCAGTCGAGGTAGTCTTGTCAGTCTTCATTGTTTCTAGAAGCGTTCCTTATATTCATTTACAAGTTGTTCGGTGGCAGATGAATTGCGTATTCGCTTGTGGGCGAGAGACCAGGCAACAGCGTCAAAATTAATATTTTGAAGGTTTCCGATGCGTTGGCTGTCAGACATTGCTGCTGTGTCCTTCGTCTCAACTGACGCACGGCATTCAAGTTAATTCAACTGCAATGAGGCTTCTCCTCTCGCGAGACGATCGCCTGTCTGTGTTCTGGACGTTCAACTTCGTTCAGACATGGTCAGTCTGGATGACATAACAGCTCGCGATGAAAATCACAAACGATCATGCTTTGATACAGATTGAAGGTCTGATGTGAGCATCTAGATCATCGGCCAGAAACAACTAATTTGCGGCATACTAGCTTCAATCTCAAGGTGATGTCGGTGTTGTTGATATCGAGGTCAAGATATCTCCAAGATACCAAACGTTGTGAATTCGTTTGCCTGGCTCAGCTGACCATGATAATACCCGTCGGCCATCTTGAGAGTTGTATAACTCTCTCTTATTAGCCTGGGTGACGTTCGTTCAAGTTAGCTGAAACATAATGTATTAGGTACACAGACTAGATTGATGGGTTCAAATTGCGAGTGAAGTTCCCGGGGCATTTATATCTACGTCAAGTCATCCAACTAGGCGTCCCTCTGAAAGAGAACAGCATGTAACGGCAAGATCTAAGTCACGAGGGGATACAATAACCAGCGAGTCATATCTGAAATCCGATACAAGATGAACTGTATGATACAGAGCTCGCTTCTACCCATGCTCTCAACATTGCTCCTGCCTGGCAGGGTTCGCGGCCACCAGGCCCACCCTCGCAACAAGTTTTCCCGAGACGAGAAATCGTATATGGAATCTTCACAGAAGAGAAAAGAAACACAAGAGCGAGTCCCGTCTGGGAGGGAGCTGCGCTGCGAGGTTTTACTGAACTACGGTTCTTCTTGCTTTATGGAAGGCTGCGGCTACTACGTATCTTCAAATCTTGGACCTATCAGCACTTCAAGATATCGTCGTGGAACAAGAGTAGTTTAGCCACATTGAAGTTGCTTCTGTGTAGAATGAGCATGCTGTCCCCAAAACGTACCTAAACTTTTTTGTCTTTGCCGAAATGAGCGAATCTCTGTCTTTCTTCTCTCTTGATAGTTGGCTGGAGCATTGTAGTCAGACAAAACCAGATCACTGCTTCCGATTTGTCAGTGAATATGTGTTGTTAGATGTCATCTCTTTCTTATACAATATTGTATCCCCAGTCTACTTGACGTGAGCCCTGAACCCTCCCTGAAGACAGCTAGCCTGTCTTCATCGTCTTGACGATAAGTGCCTGTCTTGATAGCGACGACAGAAGGAAGAAAGAAGGCAGCTCTTCGGTAGGTGAGGACAAGACGAGGACGTGGGCGACGGAGGCAGCAGAAAGGCGAACGTCCTGGATAACCTGAACGGGATCTATAATTGAGGTACTGAACGCTTTCCCCCTTAAGAGGACTGACCAAGGTCAACTTTTGAAGGACCAATAGCGGTGAAGATGTCATGCATGACATTACCGACTGTAAGCAAACTTTAGAATTTTCCCACCGACGATGACGCGTAAGGATAGGATACTATTTCAAGTAGATGAAATGATTAAAGAGTTGACCCAGGCCTTCAATCTACTATGAGTTTAATACTTGGCTATGTTCCTTGGCAATGATGATCCGCAAGAGTTGAGCGGATTGCACACTGACAGCATGTGGATGTCACATTTCTCGCCAGCCGAGAAGGAGAATTGGTTCATCCCTAGTCTAGGTATCTACACATGGTTCATTCGACCTAAAAGCAAAGACAGTAACATGCATTGTAATTTTATATAAATGGCCGAAATTCTTGACCAAAAAGGTATCATATCTCCAATCTCGTCGATGCCGAATGTATCAGCATAACTACATGCGCCGGGTCTAATGCCCAAACCCACCCGCATCACTACACCACTCTCACTTCTTGTATACTGACAAACGGTTGCCGTTACCGCAGTACTCTGTGCTAGAGCCAGTACACAACATACTGCAATCGCTCAACGGGGCATCAAGCGACGTCGTCGGCAGGGCATTACCGCAATAGCACTCGCCGCCGTACTCCGTGCCAAAGTAGCTATACCCATCGCAGAACGCCGCGCACGCCTCGTTGGTCATCTTGTCGCTGCTGGCCGTAGCCTTGGCATCCAGAGCGCGTCCGCCCTGCGCGGGCTCGGTGCGGCAGCCGAGGAAAGCGTAGACCCCGGCCGTGGCGGGTTGGCTGGGCCCCGTCACCTGTTTGTCGGACTGGTAGAGCGTCAGGCGGTTGCCGCCGCCGCAGTACTCGTACTTGTTGCCGGAGCAGGTCATGCTGCAGTCCGCCAGGGGCGCGGCAGCGCTGGTGGAGGCGAGGGAGTTGCCGCAGTAGCATTCGCTGCTGTATTCCGTGCCGAAGTACTTATAGTCTGAGCAGTACGAGGCGCAGTACTCGAGCGTCATGTTGTCGCCGGAGGCGTAGTTCTTCTGGCTCAGAGCGCGGACGCCGTTGCCTTCTGTCCAGCAGCCTACCAGGGTGTAGGGCGAGATGGTAGGCTTGTGAGCTAGCGTAGGGGAGGCAGTTGTTGAGGTGGAGATGGTGCTGGGGGCAGAGGGCAAGGTTATCGCTGAAGTTACGGCGCTGCTGGAGGACGATGCGATGCTCGATGAGGTGCTTGAGGAGGACGTGGCACTTGGTGAGGATGCCACGCTGCTAGAAGACGTAGAACTGGTGGAAGATGCAATACTGCTCGAACTTGAAGTAGACACCTGCGACGAGATCGAAGAACTGCTGGCAGTAGCAGAAGCAGACGTCAGAGTAGAAGACGTTGACCCGCTCGCCACCAAGACACTGATAGAGCTTGATGACGAGGTGCTGCTCGAGGTCGTAGTAGCCACCGTCGACGCCAAAGTAGACGAGGCACTGCCGGCTTGGTACAGCTCCAAACGGTTGCCGTCACCACAGTATTGGTACGAATTGCCGGCACACCTCATGTTACACTCGCTCAGGGACGCAGTCTTGCTGGTTGCTGCCAAACTGTTACCGCAATAGCCTACTTCGCGTTAGTTCTCATTCATGCCCCAAGACGCACTCAACACTTACACTCGCGTCCATACTCGGTGCCAAAGAATGTGTAGTCGGAGCAGAAAGTAGCACACTTGTCGAGAGTCATGTCGTCCGCAGCAGTCTGAGCAGCAGTAAGGGCGCGACCGCCATCGGCCTCCGTCTGGCAGCCGACGAGAGAATACTTGCCGATGGTGCTGATGTGTGCGAGAGTAGCTGTGGGAGCGGCCGTGGAGCTGCTGGTTCGGGTGGCGGTGGTCGAGTACAACTCAATACGATTCCCGGCTCCGCAGTATTGCGTAGAATCACCAGAGCATGGCATGTTGCAGTCGGCCAAGGGCGCAGAACTACTGGACGTAGCCAGAGAGTTGCCGCAGTAGCATTCGCGTCCGTACTCGGTGCCCCAGTAGTCGAATCCCGTGCAGTTTGCCATGCAGCTGTCGAGGGTCATGCCGTCGTAAGCGAACGCGGCACCGGTGAGAGCTCGGCCACCCGAAGCCTCGGTCCAGCAGGAGACGAGCTTGTAGCCACCCATAGTCTGTCGGTGGGAAATCGTAGCAGTCGGGGCCGCGCTGGACGTGGAAGACGACACTGTGACGCTGCCGCATGTCGGAGACCCTCCCGTCCAGCTCGAACATGTCCCACCGATAGGGTCAGCCTTCTTGAAGGGGTCAATCATGGCGGACGCGCCCTCTCCGCTGATGAAGTCAAAAGTCGACTCGAAACTAACGCCACCGGGAATGTTCGTTGTGACACTGTAAAAGGTGTAGCTGCCTACACAGTCGCCCTTGACCATATCGACGGTCATCTTACCCAGCAGCGGCACCACGCTGCTTGTCCGCGCCGTCTTGTAAGAGATTTCTGCCTTGACCGGAAGAGACGTGCGGTCGTTGCGGACTGCGGCGACCAGTGTAACATCGCCGGAGTTCTGCGTCAGGCAGCTCTGGGACGTCTGGAGAAAGATGCCATCCTGTATGGGGTACCCGTTGCCATTGTTGTTGAATAATGTGCTCGAGCCGTCGCTCTTATTAAACGTCACAGTAAAGGACGAGATGCCCGTGCTGACGGGAATATCCTGCCTGATGGGATACCAGGAGAAGCTGTCTTCCAAGCCCTTTGAGATACCCGAAATGGTAATCGTAAAGACACAGGAGCTAGTCCCGCAGGTAGACCCACCACTTCGGTTCTTATAATTGATCGTCAGACTCGAGATGCCTGTGATAGCGGTAGTTCGGACGCGAATGTATCCTGTAAGAGTCATGACGGTGGGCGAAGTGAGCGAGAGCTGAAGCTGGGACGGTTTGACGGTGTAGGGTGCGATAGCATCGCCAAGAGTAACACCAGATGGCACGGTGTTGATCATCTTCTCAAAGACGGTCTTACAGGTAGACTTGAAGACTGCGAGGTCGGTCATGGCCTTCACGGTGGCGTTCTTGTCGGAGCTGAAGACGGTGAAATCGGAATTACTGGCTCGAGCCGTGCCCATCTTGATGACGAGTGGGTTCCGTGTGGTGCCGTCTAGGTATTCGGTCACAATTCTGTTGTCAAAGACACCGTTTGAGCTATCCATGGGTGCGGAGCCGTTCGCATTTGTGCCGTCTGGAACGATAGTTGGATTCTCGGCCGTGTGGACGCCGCCAATTGTATGGCCGCAGGCTGTGACTTGAATCATCTCCTGTGGCGTGAATCCCATGCGATTGAATTTTGAGTTGAAAACTTGGATGACTTCGTTGGGCTGCGGTACGCCGGCGGCTCCTTTCACGGTTGCGTCGATGCGGCCGGATCGGATTGCAACTGAGGGACCGCCGCACGACAGGACGGAAGTGTAGACTCCTAGAGCGATGAGGTCCGACATGCTGCTTTTGCGGGTCAGGTAATGTCCCATAAAGGTCAGAGTTGTCGAGAAAGCAGGACCGGTATTCTCGCCGGTGCTCGACAGCTCATATTGTATTGATGCGTCCAACCCGCCAACTCCTGCCCCCGCGTTGGCCGGTGCCATATCGTGAAAAGCGGTTCGCAGCCATTCTGCAGCAGTCTGGCGGCCGGTGCCCGTTGCCTCCTTGGCGCAGGGGAAGACGTTGTCGGCAAAGTGCCTTGATCCGAAGTTGAATGACTGGTACATGATCTCTTCCAACTCGTCAATGTCCGAGGGCCAGGTCGGATCAGCCTGGGCCTGTGAGGCCAAGCCAAGAAGGCTCAACAGTATGGAGGAGTTCACCTTCATGGTGGTATGCTACCTCGACTACGAGGAAACCGAATTACAAATTGTAGTGCAAGTGAGTGACTTGGTCGTCCGTAATAGTGACGGCTTGACCTTTGAATTAGAGCACTATAAAGGCATAGATAGACCAAAGAAAGTGTGAAGGATGTAGAAGAAGAAGGCGAAGCGAGGGAGGTGAGAGGAAACAGAGATGAGATAGTGGCCCATGGCCGTTAGATATGAGAGACATGGTGTGAAACGACACCAGAACCACGAAGGAATAGACAAAGAGATGCGGCAACAACTTTTTGCCAACATACACGAGCCGGCCGTCGGAACCGTGGGGACCTGACCGCAGGAGACGGATGATCTAGGCACTCTGGGCAGGCCTAGGCTGTTGTGGAGGGGCTCTATCGCCAGCAAGGGAAGTAGTCTCCGTGTATGCTTGGTGTACGGAGTAGCGCCAAAAGAGAATGGCGGCACAGCTTAATCTTGCCCTGGGAAGAGTGAGTGAGGCCCGGGTGGATGGGAGGCAAATCCCCTACTAGTGAAGGTCCCTTGAAGTGAGGGTGAGAGTGAGAGTGAGAGTGAGGGTGAGATTGATGGTAAGGGTGAGAAATTGAGAGTGAGTTCTTCGTATTTTTGGCAGAAATTGCCAAGGGTGCTGGGACCCCTCTTTCCCTTTTGGATTTAGTGCCAACCTCGCATTGGATGGATCAAGATAAACTGGACAGCACGGCCGTCGTGATTGGCCGCGGGCATTTTGTGGCTGCTGTCGGTGCCAGCCGCAAAACCAGGGGTGCCGGGGTGACGATCCCCTGCCCCTGAGCACGGCTTACTTTGCTTAACCTTAATCGGTTGGTTCAACTCTTCGAGATGCCCTTCAAAGGGTTTTCTGGAGAGGGACATGGCCCAATGGTGCGTCGAGCAGTAAATTGCATCCCGACATTTTGGGTGGTGGTTTTGGCCTGGTGATGTTCGGGAGGTGGGAAAGCCCCCTTCTCGGCATTGCCCCAGCAGGCCGAGTCAGCCAGGCAAAGCACTCTTGCACTTCGAGGCCGACGAGCCGCGAGCCTGACTTCTCCTCCGGTTCGTATATTTGGTGTGGCAACCTTGCCCCTGCCCTGCGTTGCCGATGCCAAACTATTGATGCCATGTCAATCATGGCGCTCCAGCTGATGCTGCAGAACGCATGCATCTCTTGTTTGTATTGCAGCTTGCGTAATGCTCCCGACCTCACGCGCATAATCTTTATCAATCCGGGGATTCGATGATAGCGGAGAGGGGTTCGTGCGGAAGAACAAATCAGGACACTGACAGTTTGGCTGACGATAACTCGCAGATTCGGCTCCGACGGCAAATTGATTGTGTCTATCCGTACCAATGTTTACTGTTTTGGACGTTGACAGCACACGAGAAGTAAGCAGCCAGTAGTACAGGGACTGATCATGAGGAGCTCTTTGAAAGGGGACCAGAAACCCGCATATTCTGGAAACGCGCCAGATATCTTCGAGTCAGGGAGGCCGATTTCTGCTCGCCTGTCCTGTCAATACTGGAACCCACCTCCCGCTGTCATCCCATCACGAAAGTTGCCAAGACGCTCTTGCCATGTTGAAGTCTGCCCAGCTTGGTTTCTCCACTTGGGCTGGGAGCGGGCTTTGCAAGGACAAGTACTTGAAGAATCCTCCAGATTGCGAGAGCTGGAGTTGTCATGGCGGCCAATTGTGGCTGCTATTAGTGGAAACGTACTATCGTTTTTCGCCGCAATGTGGGAAGGGGCAAATAAACTGTCCAGCTAGCCCTTCTCCACGACCCGAGCACCATATTACCTCCAGGATAGCGCGCGGTTTGCCCACCTGCTCGGCGTCGTGATTCGGTTTGTGGTTTCCCAACGGTAAGATGGGACAAAGAATACCATCCCCACACCGCACTTTACCGACTGACTGCTCGGCCAACGTTAGCAAGGCTGAACAAAGCCAAACACGCCAGGCCATGCGAGACAACAACCTATTATAGGCTTCACAAAGAAAATCCAACGGCGAAAAATAGCCGCCAAATCGCACCGCGCTAGAGGCAGCCCACGAGCTCGATTCGAAGAGACCTCTTTCCGATGTTCCACCTTGTGCGCCCGCCAATCCGGAATATGGCTCGACATCGTGTTGAGAAGCATCATCCGGCGGGGACTGGTTCGCTGATGCCTCCGATAGGTTCTACAAAGGTGGTTGGCGGTCAAGAAACGTCGGAAGGCGCCGAACAACCAACATCGCCGAGGGGACCCACGGCACCAAAGTCCCAGACAGGCACTGTTGATAAGGTAGAGGGACCTATTGTAATCGACCGGCCCCACACCGGGGCACCGGTACGGAACACCATGTGCCGGAGCCTTGGTGCCAGCCAGGAAAGCGGGGCCGCTGCCGTCCATCAAACCCTTCGCCCATTCACCCAACGCCGGTATGCTACGGCCAAACATTTTCCGAAGCCATAGCAGGGCTGGAATTCGCCGAGTGCAACAGCAAAGTCATCGACAGTCTTTGAACAGCCACCCGCAGCCCACCGAACGCCCCATCGGAAGCCTACCCGGAAGGCGCCTGATCCGAAGTGCCCAAAGTCGGAAGGCATTCAATTCCGCAAGACATTACACAAACACAAACGGCGTCTTGTCTCGGGATTTTACGGTTTCTTTGCAACCCAAGATTGTTGTCCAGTTACACTCGAGGTTGACGACTGTGGTGTTTTGTCTAGATGCGAGGAACGCCACTGTCGAGTGAAACCCTGGGCTACTTCTCGGACGAACCCTTCTTGCCCAAAAGGAAGTCACGTAGTCCTTCTTTCTACCGGTAGTTTTCTCCGCGGGCCGAGGCACTTGACTGGAACCTGACATCACAAATTTCCGTCGAAATCGTCCGATCGTCGACTGCTTCAAAGCCGCCGCTATGATTGCCTTCGGCGCTACCCGTCAGACAATGCGTCGATAGAGCAGGCAATGACATAATATGACCGGACTGAGAGCAACAGACCGACTTGACGCCTAGTCCCAAAAGACCAATAGTCCACCGCCGAGATGATGAAAAAACAGTACCGGTAACTGTGAGAACAGCGCTGACTGCGCTATTATACACAAGTTGGATGAACAATTATCAGTCACCCATATCTCTTCGATGCAGCGATTGTGTCCGAGCTGCACTCCGTACAGAAGAGTGCTCTTGAATTTCTGGCGGGTGGGCTTTTCCACGATCTGGGGAAACCCTGACATAACCAGGGGAAACGACCAGAACCGTGCAAATCCACAAAAAATCTGGCAGCGGGAAGAACAAACTTTACGCGAAACTCAACGGAGAAGAGACGTGCCGTGGTTGCATAGCTGATCATCAATTATCTCATAGGTAGGACCGCCCTTGCAATTGGGTGCCGGCCCGCCAATGATCTTCAACAGCCCGGACCAGGCCTTTAAACCGAGACATACTAGAGCGACGCGTACAGTACACTAAGGGATGTCTTTTGGGTAGGTATACGCATGAGCTGGCCAGACCAAGACACAGACATAACCAAAACTGGATCCAGCGGGGTTGAACGCAGTCTCAAGTTGAGCAGACGTTTATTCCAGATGTGACAGAAGTCCAGAACGTGGGCATTTGCAACACTCGCAGTCTGCCAGTATGGATACATTGACGCTGGGAAATCAGTCATAAATCCGAGAAGCTGCTCCGAGAACCGTCCAAAGGGAGATGATCCCGGGAAAGCTGAAAAACTCTGCCGTTCTTAAACTCTAGCCGTCTTGGACATGAAGCATCCCAGGGCTCCACGACTTTTTGGTACACCTTACTGTACGCAGTAGGTTTTTAGTCATGAACACCACCTTTACAACGTCAACATACGGGTCTGGGCTCTGGGCTATCCCGTGCGAGCCGATGAAAAGTGAAGCCAACCCTGGCATGGGAAGCTAGGGGGCAGTGGAAACTCCCAGTCACAAGTCACATCAAAAGCGAAAGGTAAAATGGGAAGACCCCTGGGAAACCGAGCGATCCCTCCCCACACCTTCCAGGTTCCATAAGTCATTCGCCCCGCCAAAGCCACAGAAGACCCCACTACCGTGGCCGTGCCGGCCCTCCGGCACAGAATAAGTGGAGAATACGTTCTGGCTCCGGCCCAATCACGGCGACGTCTATCCCTCCAAGACGCCTGACATCATCGGGGCCCACTTGCCCACAACCCCCATTCAGCCACAACGGCCTCCGTCATCAACGTCTGCAAACAGCGCCCCGGATCAAGAACCTGACGCCTGCCCTCCGTCATTGGGTGAATTGGCTGCAAACTTTGGGGGTGTTGGTGTGTATGGTGAATACACTGACCGTGTGCGCAGTATCCGTAGAACGTAAAGAACATGTTCCAGGAATAAACGGGGATGGGGCGGAGAGAGCCCAAGACAAGCTTGAACAGCGCTGAACCTTGCCACGATCTACGCAATGGAGCGGGATCGGTCAGTCCGTTTACCGGCAGACGAAGCAGGGAGGCAGCCCTTGTTTCCTTCTTTCCTTCCATTTAACCTTTAATTCTTAAGGGTCTCGAACCTCCCTCTCCCCATTCGCTCACCTTGACTCTATCTCATCCCACCTCACCTTTGGTATCCAGGGTGTAGACTTAAACAACAAGAAAGGAAACCCGCACAAAGTCAACCAAACAATCAAGTTTCCGAGTATACTGAACTCATACAATCAGCCAACTATCAAAGAAACCACAAGGAAGAAGCTCAACATACGCCGCAACTATGGGCTTCGCATTAAAATTCCTCCAGTGGTTCATCCGCGGCGTCCAGCTAGGCTGCTCCGTCCTCATCCTCGCAATCTTCTCCTACTTCCTTGCGACCCTCCACAACCACTCTCTCCCGATATCGAACTCCATCCGCGCCGTTGAGGGCATCTCAGGCGCCGCGACCCTCTACACCCTCGTCGGCCTCCTCCTGCTCTGCTGCCTCGCGGGGCTTGCCTTTACCTCCTTCATCGCCATCGTTCTCGACGTCGCCTTCATCGGCGCCTTCATCTACGTCGCCGTCGCCAACAAGGGTGGCGCCGGAACCTGCTCCGGCACCGTCAGCACCCCCTTCGGCGACGGCCCCGCCGACGGCGAGCCGACCAACACGGGAAGTGACGGCTGGACTCACCTACCCAGTCTGCGCACGGCTTGTAAGCTGCAGACTGCCTGCTTTGCAGTCTCCATTGTCGCAATGTAAGTGCACTTCGAGCCTAACTTTGAAGGAACGCAGCTAACATATAAACGCAGTTTCTTCTTCATCTTCTCCATCCTCGTCGAAGTCGCCCTCGCCCGCCACCACCGCAAGGAGAAACGCTTCGGCCCCAGCCCCAAGAACAACTACACCTCGGGCTCAGGCACCAAGCCCGGCTTCTTCAGCAGCTTCCGTCGCCGCGTCCGCGCCGACCCCGCGACTAACGACAATGCGCTGCCCATGCACACCAGCCCCGATCAGGTCCGCCCCAGCTACGCCACCGAGACCACCGCGGTCGCCCAGGATGTCGGCTACCCCAAATACGAAGGCACCTACGGCAACACTACAACGGCGACTGGCGGTGCCAACGGCCATGAATACGGTCACGAGACTGGAACCACGCAGCCGCCCCCTCGACACTACAACGATGGTGTTTACGACAGAGTTTAGGTACGAATGAGACAGGAATTGAAATGAGACCACATAATGAGTTGATGGAAGAATTGTAGTTGGTCTAGGTTGGCAAAGATACCCAGGAAATTGAGGAGTTTTTGCCGTCGCGTTCGAGACGATGGTATCTTGTTGGTAGTTTGGTTACGAATCAATGGATCACATGCACACATTGACCCAATCATGCACATAGTGAACTTGCTTGACTAATACTGTTGTCCTTTGATCGTGACTACGTTCGTACAAGTCATAGACTGTGTTTAAACCTCTGTGAGTGAGGCATTCGGTGATTGGGTAAATTCATCTCGCACAAGGCATCGCCCGGCACCGACTCATAGCTTTTAATAACCTATTCCAGACACTCGCCAGGTGTCAGCATACCTCGTAACTTTAACGCTCAGGGTAATTTTATGGCCAGCCGGCCGCATCGTGCTCCCACTCACTGTTTGCGCCATCGTCGGCCCCGACGTCAGCCCAATTCATGTCCAGCTTCTCCAGCTCCCTTGTGAAAAAGTCTTGCTCCTCGCGCAGGGCTGCCCGTAGCTCGGCCGCAATCTTGTCCGGGTACCGCCGCACGTTGAACCAGTGCGTCAGACTGCGCAGTGCTTGCTCCAATGGCAGCGCCGAGTCCACCTCGGCATCAACGTCGCTGCCGGCCAACCACTCGTCACGCAGTTCAGGTCGGCAGTGTAGGTACACCGCCGTGATGACGCGCATGTTGCTCTGCCGCCACTTACGGCCGCAGTAGGGTACTTGGTTCTTGAACAGCTTCAAGGTGTATAGTCGGAGTTCTGGCTGGGGGATCTTGAGGGATTTGCGGAGAATGTTGGCAGACTTGTACTGCACCAGGAGAAGGTTCCGGTGAGCTTTGTGCTTGCAAATCTTTTGCATGATTCGTAGGTAGTTGATCAGAGAGAAGAAGTTTCTTCTCGAAAAATCAGTGATGGGCTCTGCTGGCAGGTCGCCGACAGGATATCCGAGCTCATCAACTTCAGGTCGCACCGCAGCTTGTCCTTCAAGCTTGCTGGTGTCTTCGCCATCGCGGGTGGCGGCAGTCGCGACGCGAGGCGGTGACCGCCTTCTCTTGATAGGTGGTGGCGCCGCTTCGTCCTCGCTCTCCTCCTCGTCCGGCTCTGCTTGTACAGGCGACTTCTCCTTGAATTTCGATCGCAGATTGCAGAAGTGGAAGAAGCTGATTAGTCAGTTTGTGTCGCGTGAGGGTTGGTAACAACACACACCTGTTCTCTAGCCGGTCCGTTTTGCTGTCGACAACCTGTTGAACATCCTGATGGGCGAACAACTTGAGCACCAGCGGAAGGTAGTTAGAATCCAGCAAAAGTTGCGTCATGTATTCGGATTTCAAAATGTCTGCGGCCTGATTAGTCTATGCCTCGGGCGAGGCCAAGCATACTCACGAGAGACTCTGAGCCACTTCAATAGAAGCAGGAGAATGCCAGTAATGGCCTTTGTAGTGATTTCGCGGGATCGCGCGGCATCGACCTCCTCCGGTGACATCTCAGGGAGCTCTGGAGGGCCACCTCCGGCCGAAGAGAGGTCTTGGGGCTGCTGTTGTCTATTAGGTCCAGCGCCGCCATTCATACCGCCATTGGCACCTCTGCCGGCCATGCTTGGGTGCTGTTGACCTTGCGGAGGTTGCGACAACACAGCGGTGACGTTCATTAGTATCGGCCTCAATAGGACAATTACAAGCGACTGCAGATGAGGGAGAGATTCTTTCTGTGGAAGCGTTAGTTAAACTCAGCTCGAAGTGCCAAAACACTCACGTAAAAGCTTTCGACAGCAAGCAGACGTCGCTTGATCTCAACGTTCACTTTATCTGCCGAAGGGCCGCAGTCTATTTCGGGCTCCCGCATCGAAAGTTGCGCTTCTCTACGTTCCTCAGCCTTGGTCTCCGCCTTGAACGCAGCAATCTCCTGCTTCTCTTCAAGGGTCAGCCCCTCAAGGTCGAGGTTATCAACATCACTGTCGTCGCCATCTGCCTCCCACCCTCTCTCGAATCTGAGGAAGCTTTCGCGCTCTTCCCACAGCTGTCGTGTAGCACGGGTCATGCGAACCCTCTTTGCAAATAATTCGCCCGCCTCCAAGATGGATGCAGGAATATCACTGCCCTCCCACCTGCGACCGACAAGCTGTTCCTGCAAGCCAGCTCCACCTTTACCACCAGCGCTGTTGCTTGTGGCATCTAG